GAGCCTGATGCGGGGCTCGATCCCAGGACCCTGGGATCATGACCTGAGCCGAAGGCAGATGCTTAACGACTGAGCCACCCAGGCGCCCCAAATAAATACAGCTTTTAAAACAACAAAGCAAAAGGGGCGCCTGGGTGGCTCAGTTGGTTAAGCATCCCACTCTTTTTTTTTTTTTTTAAGATTTTATTTATTTATTTGACAGAGAGAGGGAGCACAAGGAGGGGGAGCGGCAGGCAGAGGGAGAGGGAGAAGCAGGCTCCGCGCAGAGGAGGGAGTCTGACTCGGAGCTTGATCCCAGGACCCTGGGATCATGACCTGAGCCGAAGGCAGACACTTAACCTACGGAGCCCCCCGGGTGCCCCAAGCATCCAACTCTTGATCTCAGCTCAGGTCTTGATCTCAGGGCTATGAGTTCCAGCCCTGCACTGAGCTCCATGCTGGGTGTGGAGTGTACTTGGGAAAAAAAAAAAAAAAAAAGTGCTTCCTGGTAAAAAATGTTAAAAAAACCCCAGGTGAATGGTCAGATTTCGTCTCTCCTCTCTGGCTGGTAGCTGAGAGTCCTGTGGTTGCCCATGCCCTGCATGACTGCTCTGCTCGCCCCAACCCGGACCCCTCTGACCGTAGCCCCCTGCTTCCATCCCTCACACTGTTCCAGCAATACAGGCCTCCTCAGGGCCTTTGCACTGGCTGTGCCCTCTGCCTGGAATGCTCTCCCCCACATCCCCTCATGCCTCCTCTCTCATCGGATTCCCACGCAAACCCCGTCAGCGTCTCCTGCTATGACTCTCTCCTCCCCGCTCCTTATCTTCGGTTGCTGGAAGCAGCAGCATCTGACGCACTATGGGGAACTGTTTTCCAGTTTCCTCCCTCACCATAATGTAAGCTCCTTTTATTGCAGGAGGGATGTGGCCTGTTTTGCTCTCTGCACATGGCAGGCACTCAGTAAATACGTGCTAAATGAGAGACACACTGTGGGCCTCTGAGTCAGCCGATCTCAGAGCGGGGGGTCTACAGTGCTTGGCTACCAGCGTGGAGCTCCCTGACCTCCAAGACCATCCATAAACCGCTGTGCTTCTGTTTTGTCAAGGCCACTCCCTCATTTACGGTGAGCTGGCACCGGCTCTGGGGCGAGACAGGCATGTCAGGCCCCAGCATCAGGTGCCTCAGCATCTTGCCGGGAGCACAGACAACCTCAACCATGGCATCTGCACGGGCTAAGAGAACTGTGCCAGACCCACAAAGAGCCAAGAGCAAGGTCAGTGCCTGCGAGGGTCACCTCAGCTCTGGTATCTGACAAGAACAGTGGAGGGTGTGGAGGACTACAAAGCAAGATCCCTGGGCTGGGGTGGGGCTTCACAAGCAGTGGTGAGGAGAAGCCCAGCCGAAAAACTGCCCAGCAAATCCATCACACCCCCACACCTACCTGCCCTGGGCCTCTGAGCAGCTCCTGCCCCCAGCAATGAGCAGACCAGGGTCACAGCTAGACAGGGTCCATGCCCACAGGGCCCAACTGAATGCACAAAGGCCGTCAGCAACCCTCACGGCCCCACTGCCCTTGTGGGAAGAAGTGCCCAAAACTCAACATTTCATCCCCCACCCCATCCCCAGCTTTAAACTACCTGGACCTTTAAGGAAAAATTATGTTACATCGTTTTTTTTAATTGGGGTAAAGTACACATAACCTTTGCCACTTTAACCACTTTATTATTTTAAGTAATCTTTACTGCCAATGTGGGGCTTGAACTCACATCACCAAGATCAAGAGTTGCGGGTTCCACTGACTCAGTCAGCCCAAGGTTCCCCTACATATTTGAAAAATTAAGTGTCCAGCTTGATCAGAAAGGAATGATGGATTCTGCAGAGAATTTGGTGAGAGGCAGGGCCATTGGGGTCTGTGGCACAGTCTTCGAATTGGCTGTAAAAGGGATCACTCACCTTCCTTGTTCTTTGCAAAGTTCAGCTTGATCAGGGACCTCCCATCCAGTTTCTGGAAGAAGAAGAATTAGTAATTAGTAATAACAAGTAAGTGGCTGATGTGAAGAAACATGGAGCCTATGAGGCTGGGTGAAGCAGAGAGATGGGCAAAGTCTCTGACCACACAGGCCTTCACAGCTGCAGGCAAGAGGTAAAGCCGCAGGGGCCGCCCCATGGAACCCCCAGCCTCTGAGCGGCACACTGACCCGCTCACGGGGCGACCCCCACCTAGAGGCCAAGGGTGGAGGTGTGTTTTATACTTCTCAAACGTTAACACGTTTTTATTGTGAGCCCTGACACACTGACTACTTCTGAAGTTAAAAATGAATGTATTTCTTCATCTGGCTGAGGGGTACACAGGCGTGCCCTACTGTTCTGCTGTAGGACAATTGAAGAAAGAACATTAAAAAGTGGGTGGGGGAAGGAATCAACACCCCCACATGCTGAGTGACTGTGATGGGTCTTCTATTTTTCACAGTTCCTGCGCTGTCTGCAGTTTACCTCTTCTTTGGCAAACCTTACAATAAAACAAAGTCCAGGCAGCCAGAGGAAAAAAGCTGCCCTGGAGTCGGGGGCCTGGGTTGGAGCAAGTGAAGGGGGCCGTGGAGAGACCCCAGAAGGGGGAGGCAAGGCTGCATGCCCGGGAGCGCCTGACTGAGGGCCCACGTCCCGGCGGCCCCTGGCCACTCTGGTGCGGGCCCAGCCCTGCCTACCCGAGGCACAGAGGAAACGCTGGTGGGCCTCCTGGGGCCGGGCCCCTGTGTCCTCGCGCGCCTCCCCCCACCTCCGCCCAGTGCAGGTGAGCATTCAACTCCAGGGCAGACAACGGGGTCCTCGCTCCGAGGCTGCTCCCATCAGATAGCCCTCCTCCTTCAGGCCCAGGCAGCCTGGGTGCATGACCCTGCACATAACATGCTCCTCCTGGGTCCCCGAGAAGTGACATGGGCCACTCGGTGAACTGCCCTTGGTTAGCTGCCATATTGGGCCTGGCCAGAGGCCGAGGTTTTGGGGCCCTGGAGAGCACCTGTGAAGCAAAATGCCCAAAGCAACAAAAAGCGCCCCAAAGGCACCCGAATGACAATATCCACGGGGAAGGAGACCGAGGCCGTGAGGACAAGCATGGACAAGAAGACATGAGGGAGACCAGGGGCACAGTGGGGCCTGAAAGCCACCCCTGGGAGCGCAGAGTGCAGACCCTCAGCCTGACCCCGCTGTTCCACTGAGGAAGGCGTGGCATTCGCGTCAGGGAAGGCAACGAACCCCGAACACAAGCCAATCACGGGGCACAGGCAGGCAGCACGGACCCCGCAGGAGGCCCCCGGAAGCCCACAGTGGCTCCCAGCAGAAGGCCTCACAGGAAAACACTGCCAGTCACGCTTTCAAATGACCAAAACTGAGAAGGACACAGCAGACACCCGAAGGACAGCGCTCTCCTTAGAGAGGCCAGGCTGCAAGCACCACCTTAACCGTCTGAGAAAAAAGCCCACAGGCTTTCTCTGGTGGCCGGGCCCAGAACACACACCCCCAGTCTAGCCCCCTTTCTTCCAAGGGCAGGGAAGGACCACTGGTGAGCCACCCACCTGACCCGAGGGGCCCCCAGCACCCTACACTCTGTCACAGGGGCCAGAGGAGCCCAGACAGCACAGAAGGGCCTCCAGGACTCAGGTAACAAGACCTCCGCTAAGTAAAGAACCAGTGACATTTCCCCCGTCCTACCTACGCTGGCAACCACGACATGGTTCACACGGCTTGGCCCTCACTGCCTCCCCGTCAAGGCTCACAGAGCCCAGGTCCTCCTGGGCCTCCCTGATGGGGGCCTCCACCCTGCATGGCCTCCAGGGTCTCGATCACAGAACTGACCTGGCCTCACGCAGCCTGCTGTCTTCCCCGCCAGGACAGGGCGTTATCCTAGCGGACAGGGCTCCAACGCGCTGCTCCGGCCAGCTCTCAGGTCCACGGCGCCAGAACCGGCCGCCTCCATATTTCATCAGGTTAACCTCTCAGCCTCACACATCTCCCCAGGCACCCTGGAGGCAACTGTCCTCCAAGGTCCCACAGAAGTCCCCACCCTCCCTGCTGGCCCTCCTCATCCCACCTCCACCCCAACTGCCTGCCCCTACTCGTGCACCCAAATCCCTCCTGCCGCTCGGGGCTCTGCTTCTGAGGGGTCCGCTTTCCTGCTGAAGCCCCACTGGCCTGGAATGCCAAACTCAGGCTACATCACCTGGTTCCACCCGTCCGTCCCTGGCATCCCCGGCATCGGACATGCTAACTGATCCAGTCCTCCCGAGACGGGACTGCACTAAAAGGCCCCTACTGGGCTCTGCCCGGCCCCGGGGAAACACAGACCCTGATGTGATGGCCCCGCAAGGCCCACAGGTCCATTTGTAACAGCAATGGTGGGTCCGGCCTCACTGTGCCACCTCCTCAGCTTTCTTCCTGGTCCAAGTTTGCACAGCACCTCTCGTGCAGACAAGTGCACAGCCCCCTGGCTGCTCTCCCACCTTCCACCCTTGCCTCCCTATAGTCCCGTTTCCCACACCGCAGCCAAGGCGAGCCTTTAAAACAGTCCCGATCGTGACACGTTTCTGCCCGAAAGCCTGCCTGACTTCCAGCACCCCCAGAACCTTCAAGGCCCCTGTGATGTGGCCTCTATCTACCACCATCTCCCCCGCATCCCCGGTCTCAGCTTTGACGGCGGTGCTCCATCCCCAAGAACCCCCCCCCGCCCCCCTGCTGGTGACCGCCTCCGCCTCCCATGGCCGACAGCTCACAGGCCCTGCACGCGGCGCAGGCTCACACCTCGCTGAGTAAGTGGCTGCAACTGAGGAACTGAAGAAATGGGCCTGCAGTGCAAGGGAACGAGAGGGCTCCGAGAAGTAAAGGGACCACGGGAAAGCGGGAAACGTAACAGCCCCACAGGTTTATGATGGAGGCATGCGGGGCGGGGGGGGGAGAGTCAGACAAGGTGACTAAGCTGGAATTTGGGTTGGGTGCAGAGATTACTTAAAAATAAAATCTTAAAAAAAAATTAACGCTTTCATGCTGAGGTGAGGCAAGGAAAATGTCTAAAACCTGATGGTACTCATTGGGGGAAAGGGAAACAGGCGTTTGCAACTTCCCTGGAGGACAATTTGCCAGTACCTACCAAAACAGAAAATGCACCCACCCTGTGACCCAGCAGTCCTGGGAGGACACTCATATATGTGTCCAGAGAAACGTGCACAAGGGTAGTCCCTGTCTGCTGTAACAGCGGGTGAGTTCAGAAACGCTGCGGCAGCCCCCCAGGAAGACGTGTGCAGCTGCCACAGAACACGGCAGGGCTCGACGCACGGATGTTCAGATCTCCAACACTCCAAGGGGTGTGAAAGCAAGGTACAGAGGAGTTCGCGCGTGTGACTGCATCCATGGCCCAAGGAAAGATGTACACCTGTACAAAATGTGTACCTGAGGGAACATTTCCAGAAAGGAACAGTGTGGGGAAGGGAGGGGAGGACAGTCCTATTCACAGGGCCCCGTGAACGGTCCTCTACCACGCTCGTGTGTACGCGAAAACCACAGAACCAAAGCACAGACGCGAGGACAGCGTTCACTCGGCATCACTTAAACTCCTGCCCGGCCACCTACCTCTCCATTGCTGGGGTTGGTCCCATACTTCTTAAGCCAAGGGACGATGTTACTGAAGGGAAGAGAAGAGAGAACGTCGGCCAGGCGGTCAGGTGCAGCCCGGTGACAAGGCCACCATCCAGGAGGGCCTCGTCCGGGTGAGAGCTGCGAATGGGCTTCGCTCCGCTTCACTTCTGCTAGCACCTTGCCTTGACCAAGGAAGTGAGGAGTGTTTCTGGATACGTGGGTTTCAATAAAAACACGCCCAGTGTTTTTACTGTGGTTACGGATAAACAACACAAACCAGCGAAAAAAGATACATGTAAATGTTGATACGTCCATACAGTGAGATACTGGGCCAGCATCGAAAGTCAGGCTTCCAGAGAATTCTGAACGACACAACTGAGTGAAAAATGGATTCAGAACTATCTTTGCATGGGGCGCCTGGGTGGTTCAGTCGTTAAGCATCTGCCTTCGGCTCAGGTCATGATCCCAGGGTCCTGGGATCGAGCCCCGCATCGGGCTCCCTGCTCCGCGGGAAGCCTGCTTCTCCCTCTCCCACTCCCCCTGCTTGCGTTCCCTCTCTCACTGTGTCTCTCTCTGTCAAATAAATAAATAAAATCTTAAAAAAAAAGAACTATCTTTGCAGTATTACCTCAACCATGTACCACAAATAAACTCACAGAAAAAGAGGAGTATAAACGTTGACAGTAGTTATCCTGGATAGTGTGATTATGATAAATTTTTCCTTTTATTTCGAAGTATTTTCCACATTCTCTAAAAAGAGACTGAAGCATGAAAAAGTTATAGAAGCTGGTTTATGTTGGAACATAAAACTGAGCATCATGCTTCAAAACACAGCACTGGGAAAGTATGTACCTAAATTATGGCTCTGCTTTCATAAAGCGAAAAGTACTCAAGTTCATTAACATCCAAAACAGGTATAGGTAGGCCAGTTAGAACCCTAGGATCCCCCATGCGCAGGGAGAGGTCAATGCCACCCCAGGCAGGGACAGTAGCGCCTGCCAGCAAGGCTGCCTGCCCGGGGTCACAGCAACACTGCGGCCTCATCCCTGAGGCTCTGGAAGTCTCTCCTGGGTCCCCAAGAGGCCACCCAATGCTCCCGAGGCTGCCAAGATCCCAGCGTGTGGCCTGGCTTGGCACTACCTGAAGCCACAACCCCTCCCGCTGGTCCCATACCGCCCTTCCTGAGTGGGTGTCAACAGTCTCACCCCTTTTGTTAGCTCTAAAGTCAAGGGAAAACTCACAGCAAGTCAAAGACGACGCCTTCAGGGGTGCAGACTGGGTAGACGAAGGGCTGCAGAGAGAGACTGAGAAAGGACAGAGTCACTCCGGGTCATGCGGTGGCTACCGTGACTTCTCCCTTTGTTCCTCCCTGCTTGCCTCCAACAATTCTGGGGCTCCTCTGCCCAGCCGGGGCTGGGTGCCAGTACAGAGGTGACCCCCACATCCCCGCCCCTCAGAAGCTCCCTGCACACACCAATCAATACAAGGCAAGGGTCCCAGGAGGTGCTGAGGGGGCCTTGGGGCGACAGCAGCCGAGTTCTCCCCACTCTCTCTGCCATGTCACGTGACACGTCATCACGTTCAAGCCCAAAAGAGGTTCCTGAGGGTAGCCTTGGGGTGGCAGGAGTGGAATTCACTCCCTAAAACCTCACATGGCAGGCATGCCACACTCTTCTACTGAGAGCTGCCCTCTCTCATCCCAAGAGACTCTGGTGGACCTATCCTGGTCTGGGGGTGCCCTGCTTGCTCCTGCTTAGAGTATGCACACAATTCCCCCGTTTCCAAGGGGTAGGCACATGACTCAGGCAAGTGCCCTAGGAGCCCTGGGTAAGTTCTGATACATGGATATGGGGGTAGATGGGTCTGTAGAGACCCAGACTGCCACAAGCCATTTACCACCTCGTGGAGGGTCTACTTAGGAAAAGCAGAACACATAGATGAAGGGAGACTGTACATGGTGAACTTGCTTGAGCCAATACCCTTTTTCCTTGCATGGGGTTTCCATCGCTAGCCATCAAGAGCCCTGGCTGACCCGGCTTGTTTGTAAATCGGTCATCTCTAAGTTTGATCAGCACAGATCAGTCCCCCGGACCTGGACAGCTTGCCAGTGACAGGGTCACCTCCCCAGATGCTGCTCCAGAAAGCCCTCCCTCTCTGGCCCAACCTACTACTCTAACCGAGTGGTGATCCTGCTGGGGACTGATGAAAACAGGACCCAACACCAAAGCAAATGGCAAGACACCGCACATGCATCTTCTCCCAAACGGGCCTTGAAGGGCATATTCTCAAAGCACATTTTTACCCAGAACCCAAGGTAGTTAAAAAGTGGGTGAAACACAGTTTAGAGACCTCTTGGAGGAACTGGGAACCAAGGATGAAAGTATTTCCATAAAATCCATTCATACACACTCTGAATGAGACCAGATTCCCATGAGGCTGATGACAAAACTTGGTGGGGAGAAATCCAGCCAATGATGCCTGGGTCTCACTTGTTGACCCTCCCTGCGCAAGTGCCAGGAGCAGGGAAAGCCCTCACTTCACTGCTCCATGGGAGCCTCCTGGGGCCGACCGAGTGGCTGCATCCCTGGCCCTTACTGCCCTGTGGAGTCTGGCGTAGAGCACTTGGGAGCGCTCTGTCAGTTCTCAAGGCTCATCGTGACCTACAGAATCAGAAACCAATGGGACACATACACACGATGCATGTGTCCAGAGCAGGGATGATCACAGCTCGAGCTTGGGGAAACTCAGGCCCAAATGGACCATCCCCAAATCCCCAATGTCTTGGGGTTCATTAATGCTAGCCCCACTTCTCCAGTAGACCCACCTTCTGTTCATACACATACCAACCATGGTGGGAAGAAGCCTCTAAGTGTCTCTACAGCTGGGTCTCTCCCCATCCCCACCAGTAACCTGTGTTCCCAGAGGGCGGGGGCAAGGGGTTCACAGCATCATGACTATTACTGATGCTGTTACTACTTAGACTCTGGACTAAAAGTAAAGCATGAAAGACATGGGCCCGGAGTCAGTCCACCGGGTTCAAGCCTCGATGGCATCACTTTCTAGATGTGACACCGGGGTGAGGGACTTCCCACTTGTAAACACTGATCCTCTCAAGTGTAAAATAGGCTTAACAACAGAGTCTACTTACCTTGGAAGGTAAGAAAGAAGCTAAAAGAAACAACCCATAAACATACAGACACAGAATAAGCAGAAAGTAAGTATTAGTTCTTATCACTGTTGGGTCACCTTTTCTCAATTCAAGGAAGATCTAGGTAGGGGAACACAGACAGAACCCACATCTGCATCTCCAAGGATCAGATTCACTGTCAAATAATGAGTATCAGAAAACAACTAGGAGGGACAGATTAACACTCGAAACTCTTACCTGCAGTGATCAAAAGGTAAACGACGAAAATTTGCTTGTGGAATATCTGTTTAAAATGAAAATAAAAGGGGCGCCTGGGTGGCTCAGTTGGTTAAGCAATGCCTTCAACTCAGGTCATGATCCCGGAGTTCCAGGATCGAGTCCCGCATCAGGCTCCCTGCTCTGCAGGGAGTCTGCTTCTCCCTCTGACCCTCCCCCCTCTCATGTGCTCTCTCTCATTCTCTCTCTCAAATAAATAAATTAAATCTTTAAAAAAAAATGAAAATAAAAGAAAGTTTATTCTGTGAATAACCTCACGGATGTGTTCTTACTAATAACTGAATCCCATGTTAAGAAAAAGTTCACGTAAACTACCTAGTGCAAAAACTAGTGTGGGTTAAAAAACCTTTCAATAGGTAGAACACACGGAGTACATCAAGAACACACTTAGAGGAAAAAGCACATACTTGCTTAAGCCACTGCGGTTGGGTTTCTCCCACGACCCTAACACCTTTGCTGTGGGGCCTGGCTTGGCTTTCCAAGACGGCTGTGCTGGTTTTATCCCCATCAGCAATTAATGAGAACGTGCTCTTTTTACTGCAGCCTTGATAGATTTGGGTATTATCATTCTTTTTATTCTCTATTAACTTGACAGAAAAAAGAATGTTATTTTAACATATGTCAAAAAATATCCCCACTGGGGCGCCTCCATGGCGCCGTCGGTTAAGCTCCTGACTCTTGATTTCGGCTCAGGTCATAGTCTCAGGGTCGTGAGATCGAGCCCCACGTCTGCTCCATGCTCAGTGTGGAGCCTGCTTGAGACACTCTCTCTCTCTCTGCCCCTCCCCCAGCCTGTGCTTGCTCTCACACACGCTGTCACACAAAAAAAAGTATCACCACCAAGATTAAACATTTTCTCATGTGTTTAGTGTATTTTCTCTTTTGTGAATTATCTGTGTTCTCAACCTATCTGTCTGCTACACTGTGGGGGTTTTTCTTTTTAAGATTTTATTTATTTATTTGACAGAGAGAGACACAGTGAGAGAGGGAACATAAGCAGGGCGAGTGGGAGAGGCTGAAGCAGGCTTCCAGCAGACCAGGGAGCCTGATGCACGGCTCGATCCCAGGACCCTGGGATCATGACCTGAGCCAAAGGCAGACGCTTAACGACTGAGCCACCCAGGTGCCCCCTCTGTGTTCTTGTTCATTGTTCATTCTTACAGTCTCATTGTATAGTGAAGACATCATTCCTTAATTACACTCCCCCACACACACACACATACATCCACACCAAGGGAAATAGAAGAATTTCATGCCTTACCTGGTTTCTTGCCACCATAGAAGTGAGTGTATTCAGCACAGGTAATGTACCTGAAGAAGAGAAAGAGAATCTTACTACCACACCCCTTTATAAAGAGAACAGTCTCGGGAAGTAACTGATGACTGAATCGTTTCACTCATTCAGCAAATGCTTATTAAACACCTACTGTGTGTCAGACACATAATGGTAAATACAACAGAACACAGGGATACACAAATTAATAAGCAAATATAAACAATCCTGCTCTCCTCTGAAGGAAATGTACAAAACTTAACACAAGGCTTGATGATGCAAAGGAGCTAGCCATGGGAAGATCTGGGGGAAGAACTTTGCAGGCAGAGGGACCAAGCAGGCTTATCACATATAAAAGCCCTCACACAGGAACAGCTGTTGTGTTTTCAGAAAAGGGTGAAGTCACTGAAGAAGAGTGTGCACAGGGGCATGGAGCAGCAGATGAAGAAGGGTGGTGGTCGGACCACTCGGTCTTACCCAGAAGCTGGCTAAGAGCTGTGGATCAGCGTTAAGCAGTATGGAAAGCTGCTGGAGGGTGTTGAGTAGGGCCCTGGCATGATCTAACATAAGTCCTCAAAGCATCACTCTGGTGCCTGTGTAGAGAGGGACAAGCGAGAGAGGCAGCAGAAAACCAATCAGGAGGCAACCACAGAGGTTCAAGGAGGAGCGGGCATAAACTCCACCTGTGGGAGGGTTGGTGGACGAGTGAGAAGTGGTTCCTGGAAGAACCACAAGGATTCACCGATGAACGGGGGGAGGAGAGAGCCGCAGGAAAGAGGCACCAAGGCTAACTCCCAGACTTCTGACCTAAGAAACTAAATGGCAGTGTGACCACTGAGAGGGGGCAAATGAGGGGGGAGCATATTAAATTTGAGATGTCTATCAGACCTCCAACTGGAGATGTTGAGTAAGCAGCTGACTATTGTAAGATAGATTACAAAGGAGAAGGTAAAGGGAGAAGAAACGTGGAGGACATGGATGTATGAAGTCTGGGAGAGAGGGAGGAGGATCCAGCGAAGGAGACTGAGAATAGAGAGGCCACTGAAGCAGACATAAAACCAAGACCATATGGTGTCCCACATACCAAAGAAGGGCTTCAGAAGGAGCGAGGTGGTCAGCTGTGTCATATGCTGTTGAGAAGCCCAACAAAATGAGAATTGTGAACTGACTACTAGACTTAGCAGCAACAGAGAAGTTACTGGGATCCTGACAAGAGTAGTGCTGCGGCGTCAAGCCTGCCTGGATTGGTTTCAAGAGACATCAGAACACAGCAAGCAGATGCAAGTCTTTCACGTCTTGTTAGAAAGAAAAAACAACAAACCACAGTGGCAGCTGGAGGGGAGCACGGGGCAAGACTAGTTTGTTTTAAACTGCAAGACTCCGGAGCACGAGTGTAGGCCGACGAACCAGCACGCAGGGAGACTGGAGGTGCAGGACAGGAAGGGGCTGATTCAGGAGCAGAGCTCGAGAGTGCAGGGGCCCGTGCTCGCCCAGCGCCGAGGCGGTGGGAGGGCCACGCTCGGATGAGGGCACCTAGGGTGCGTTAGAACCGGGAGCCCGGGAGACCAAGGCGCCGGGGGATGGGGTGGGGGGAAATTCTCCGCCTGGGGAGGAGGGGGGCAGAGGCTTCCAGGACGAAGCGGCATTTGAGAGTGGCTCTGGGAACCAGCTCTGAGAGAGGGAAAGGGGGCGGCGCGGAGTGCGGGACAGGCGGGCACCGAGCCAAGCGGGGCCCCGCTCCCGGCTGCGGCTCAACTTACATCTTGTCCTTCTGATGCTGTCGCTTCCCCATGTCGGCGGCGGCGCTGGCAGTGCCAGGACCAGCGAGTGCGTAGAAACGACGGCAAACAATCCAGATTCCGACTTCCCGGCCCAGCTCCGTAATTACTTCCGGGTCCCGCTGACCCGCCCCGGAAGTGGGCGAGGAGCGGGAGGGAACGGTGGCGCCTCGTTCCAAGTGCGCATGCCCCGCAGGTACAGCCTCGTCCTAGGGTGCCTGGGCGGAGTTCGCGGTAGGGCTTATAAGGGGGCTGGTGGGCCGAGAGGCCTCTGCCTCGAAGCCCCACTTTCCCGGGCGGGTGGGGGATGCTCTCTCTGGACCTTTCGCATACCCATCCAGCCCTGGCTACGTGCCGTCCATGCTCAAGCCCGCCCTGGTTTCACCTGGGTCTTTAAAAAAAGTCTGCGGGGCACTGCACAAGTCCCACCAGCCTCGGGCTCGTCTCTGTTTCCTTCCGCGGCAGACGCCTCCAAAGCCACGTCCACGTTCGCTGTATGCCCGTTCTCCTCCCATTCAGTCCCCGCCGCCTCCAGGCCCCTCTCCTGGGCGAATTAGGGGCAAGTGGCCATTAAGCCCGAAAGTCCAAAGCCCTCACTCATCTGTTCCCCTTTCTTAAGGACCCTTCCCTGGACCAGATCACTATGTTCGTGTGCCCCAGCCTAAGCCCTGGGCCTCCGTCTACACCCAAGCACTGGGTGATGTTGCCCAGGCTCGTGGCTTTAAATGCCACTTGAATCCCTTGATTCTCATCGTTAAACGGCCAACACTCCGGATTCCTGACCTCTACTTAGGTACCACTGATCTCAAATTTAACATGTCTGGTCAGGGACGCCTCGGTGGCTCAGTGGGTTAAGCGTCTGCCTTCGGCTCAGGTCATGATCCCAGGATCCTGGGATCGAGTCCCACATCTGGCTCCCTGCTCCACGGGGAGCCTGCTTCTCCCTCTGCCTCTGCCTCTCATGAATGGATAAATAAAATCTTTAAAAAAAAAAAAAAGGTCAAAACAGAATTCTCCATCCCGACTGGATCCCCTACTCATCAACTGTACCACTAGACAGTCACCCAAAGCCAGTCGTCCTTGCCCTTTCTCATTTCATGGCTGCCCCCTTCTAATTTTCTAGGCTTCAATATAAAGGTCATCTCCTCAGAGACGCCTTCCCTGACAGCCCACCACATACATGCCCAACTCAGCTCCCACAGGACTTACAACTTTATAACCCTGTTAATTAGATCTATGCACTGGTTACACACACACACACACACGAGGATAGGATGTGAGCTCCTTAAGAGCAGGGACCCACTTGGTTATTATCTCCAGTCCCAAGCAAGGTGTGAGGCATACACAAGGGTTTAGTGAATATCTGCTAACGTCCAGCAGTCCCCAAGCATTTTGTGAGGACTCACATCTCACATGCAGGTTTGATTCTCAGGTTGGTGTGTGAGAGGAGTCACTGTCTCTGAAACTCCTTAGGGAGGTGCCAAGTTGGAAACTAATCACCAGCTTATTTTCCTCCAGGGTGGGAAGAGATCACTGTTTCTTTTTTTTTTTTTAAAGATTTTATTTATTTATTAGAGAGAGAATGAGAGATAGAGAGCATGAGAGGGAAGAGGGTCAGAGGGAGAAGCAGACTCCCCGCCGAGCAGGGAGCCCGATGTGGGACTCGAACCCGGGACTCCAGGATCATGACCTGAGCCGAAGGCAGTCGCTTAACCAACTGAGCCACCCAGGCGCCCGAGATCACTGTTTCTAAACCCACACCAGGATAAGGCTTGAGTTTAGGGGCCAAGTTCAGGAAAAAATGGTAGACTTGCAAATCAGTGGGGTCAAGTGAGGCCCAAAGGGGCCACAGAGACACTGTAGGGAAGGGCAGCACTGTCTCATCACTCATTTCTCTTTCACACCGCCGTGGCTGGGGCACCTGGGTGGCTCGGTAGTTAAGAGGCTGCCTTCGGCTCAGGTCATAATCCCAGGGTCCTGGGATCAAGCCAGGATCAAGCCCTGCTCAGCGGGGAGCCTGCTTCTCCCTCTCCTCCCCACTCATGCTCTCTCTCGCTGTCTCTCTCTCAAATAAATAAAATCTTTAAAAAAAAAAAAAGTACCATGGCTGAATTCCCATGTTAGAGTGCAGGCAAGGGGACTTCACAGTAACACTGACCTGACCAATTACTGTATGCAGGCTCAGGCTGAGGGGGGCCTCAGGCTTGCACTACCCTGAACACCTCTTTCGACTGGAGGAAGCCCATGGGATTGTACAGCCTCTAGGGAGCCCAGCACAAGTAAGGCACCTCCGCGAGAACTTTATTCATTCCTTTAGCCATGGTCTATAGGGAAGAGGTTATGGGCCCCTCTTGGGGGTCCCAGACTCTGTGCTGCTAGGGTCGTTCTCAGAGTCATCTTTGGGTCTTGGCACAGGCTGGAACTTGAGCAAGACAGGCGGGGTGAAGATGGAGGCCTTCACAGGAGGGAGTGGTGTCTCCTCAGTACTGGGGGGACCACTACAAGCCGAGGTCCTGTGCAGGAGACAGCCAAGACACGTCCATGAGGTGGGATCCTGGCACAAAGACCCACCAGAAGTACACATGACAAGACGTCAGGCTGTGGGATGGCTCGCAGGACATCTCTACTTTCAGAACTCTCTCCCACGGATGGCTCTTCCAGGCTGTTCACCGCAGCAATGTTTGTGATTGTGAAAATCTGGAAACGACCTTGTTCCTCAGGGAATGGCTAAAGGAACCACAGGCGCCATGTGGCAGACTGTTCTGCAGCTGTTGAAGGACTGAGGTAGGTCTATATATCTCAGCAAATAAAGATGCCCCAATGGCACAGTAGTGGAAAAAAGCAAGCTGCTGGGAAATACAATATATAATCCTGCTTTGGTTACAGAATTAACCAGTGTATTCGTGTGTGTGTGTGTATGTGTGTGTGTTAGAAGGGTACACATGAAACTCTTAACAGTGGGACTCCTAAGAGCAGGGGCCTCTTATATTTTACGTACTCATTTCTCTATTGTGAACTTTTTCCCATAGAACATGTCCTGCTTTTGTAAACTTTTTAAAGCCAATGACAAATAACTCACTTTTGATGATAGCATCATGAGAACACAGCTCACTCAGAAAGCAATACATAACAAGAGCCTAAAATTGTCCCCATCAGTGCAATGTTTCAGCGAGCAAGAATGGTTGAGGAAATATTCCATCCATACAATGGAGCATTTTGCATCTATTATTGTTGGTGAACTTAAGTATATTTCTAAAGAGCTGGCTACAAAGTTGCCTAACAGGACACTCCCAGTTAGGTAACAGACTACCCTATGTGTATAGACTTATGTTTCCACAGGGAAAAGACAAATATATGTTAGTGCTAGTTATTTCTGGCAGTGGGCGTTAAGAGTGATTTGGTATGGCTTTTCTTCTCCTTTGTGTGCGGTTTTCAAATTATCTACAGTAAATACATATTGTTTTAGAATCTGAAAAAAAAAGTCGTTTTGAAAACTGTTCAGACCATTTCCCTTATAATTCTGCTTCAGGAAATTCATCTGAAGTTCAGGAACAGCTTCGCACATAAAGACTTTAATCCCAGCACTAACTATACTCGTAGAGAAGACAACTAGAAGCACCTCATGTGTTCATGGAAGCCTGTGGAGTTAAGTGATAGCACTACATGCACAGGATATTTATTATGCAGCCAATGAAGCTCAGCTTCAAAAGACCATCAAGAAGTGGACCAGTCCCCATGGCCTTCATGGTAAGTGACAAAGGCAAGATAAAAGAAATGACATTGTCTAATTAAATCACACCCTTATAAAACTATGCCTAGGGGCGCCTGGGTGGCTCAGTCGTTAAGCGTCTGCCTTCAGCTCAGGTCATGATCCCAGGGTCCTGGGATCGAGTCCCGCATCGGGCTCTCTGCTAGGCGGGGAGCCTGCTTCTCCCTCTCCCTCTGCTGCTCCCCCTGCTTGTGCTCTCTCTCAAGTAAATAAATAAAATCTTAAAAAAAAAAAAAAAAATAGCAGAGCAAAGAATTTGAAAACGTCTATGGCTCCTGATGTTCTGATAAACTGCCTTTCAAAAGGACTAACCTTATACTTTTGCGCTTCAAAAGACACTGCTGGAAAAGTGAGAAAACCACCCACACAGTGGGGGGAAATGTTTGCAGATCCTATGTCTGATAAGGGACTTGTGTCTTCGGCAGTTCCTCAAGATACAGACTTACCACATGACCCAGCAATTCCACTCTTAAGGGTATACCCAAGAAAACTGAGAACTATGTCCTCACAGATACCTGGCCACAAATGTTCCTAACAGTATTATTCACAAGAGCCAAAAAAATGGAAACAGCCCAAATGTCCGTCGACTCATGAACAGATAGAGAAAATGCAGTATATATCCATACAATGGAATACCATTCAACCATAAAAAGAAAGTCAACCCAGAGAATGTACAGCACCAAAAGGGAACCCTGATGTAAACGATGGAGTTTTGGGTGACTATGATGTATCAGTGCAGGCTCATCAGTTGTTAACACACGCATCACTCTGGAGGGGATGTTGATAATGAGGGAGGCTGTGCACGTGTGGGGATGGGGGGCATATGGGAACTCTCTGTACTTTCCTATCACTTTTGCTGTGAACCTAAAACTGCTCTAAAAAATTTTAAGTCTTAAAAAAGAAATTTAAGGGGCGCCTGGGTGGCTCAGTCATTAAGCGTCTGCCTTTGGCTCAGGTCATGATCTCAGGGTCCTGGGATCGACCCCGCAGAGGGCTCCCTGCTCGGCGGGAAGCCTGCTTCTCTCTCTCCCACTCCCCCTGCTTGTGTTCCCTTTCTCGCTGTGTCTCTCTCTGTCAAATAAATAAAATCTTAAAAAAAAGAAATTTAAAAAACAGGAAATTCATATGTTAACTAACTCAAATTTAAATAAAAAATTTTAAAAATAAAAAATAAATCATTCTGGAGGTGCCTGGGTGGGTCAGTCAGTTAAGTATCCGACTCTTGGTTTCAGCTCAGGTCGTGATCTCAGCATTGTGAGATCGAGCCCTGCGTCGGGCTCTGTGCTAAACACAGAGTCTGCTTGAGGTTCTCTCTCCTTCTCCCTCTCCCCACTCACCACCACTCACAAGTGCACTCACTCTCACTCCAAAATAAATAAATAAAATCTTTAAAAATAAATAAATAAATAAAATTATTCTGCCAGGAAATCCAGCAGTAACACATGCTATGACATGGATGAACCTTGCAAACGTTATGCTAAATGGAAGAAGCCAGTCATGAAAGACCATGTTATTGTATGGTTTCATTTATATGAAATGTCCAGAACGGGCAAATCCACAGAGAAAGTAGGTTAATTGCTGCCTAGGGCTGGGGGTGGAGGACCTGGGGGTGACAGCTAAGTGGTGCTAGGGTTTCTTTCTTTCTTTTTCTTTTATTGTAGTAAAATATACATAACATTTACGATTTTAACCATTTCTATGTGTACAATTCAGTGGCATTAGATACATTCACAAGGTGCTGTGACCATCACCGCTATCTATTTCCAGAACTTTTTCATCACCCCAAACAGAAACTGTACCAATTAAGCAACTCACTCCCTTCTCCCAGGTCCTGGCAACCTCTCATCTACTTTGTCTTTAGGACTCTGCCTATTCTAGATATTCCACGTAACAGGAACCATACAATAATTTGTCCTTTCGTGCTGGCTTCTTTCACTTGTTTCAACATTCTATTACATGGCTAGGTCACATTTTGTTCATCTCGGATACACTTGGGTTGTCTTCTCCTTTTGGTCACTGTGAAACTGGTGCTATGAACATTCATGTGCAAGCATCTGTTTGAGTCTCTACTTCAGTTCTTTCAGCCATATACCTGGGAGGGGAATTACCGGGTCATATGGTAATCCTATGTTTAACATTTTGGGGAGCCATCAGACCTTTTTGCCATGGTGGCTGCACCATTTTACATTCCCACCGGCCACACACTAGAGTTCCAAATTCTCCACATGCTCATCAACACTTGTCATCATCTGTCTCTACGATGAGAGCCATCCTGGTGGGTGTGACGTGGTATTTCACTGTGATGTTCATTTGCATTTCCCTGATGCCTAATGACGGGGAGCATGTTTACCTGTGTTTATTGGCCATTTGTATGCCTTCTTTAAAGAAATGTCTATTCAAGTCCTGTGCCCATTTTTTGGAATGGGATTTTTTTGTGGGTTGTCTATGGGTTGTCTTTTCACTCTCTTCTTTTTGACATGATGGAAACGTTCTAAAATTGGACTGTGGTGATGGTTGCACAAATGTGAATATATAAGTGAACACTTTAAATGGGTGAATTCATATGATGCTATGCAAATTATCTCAAGAGAATTTTTATTTACTTATTTTTTTCAATAAGAGAATTTTTAAAAGGACAAAGCCAATTTATGGTATTTTCACAGCTAAAATGAGTCTCCTCCTAAAGCCTTGATAGCACAGGATTCCCTTTACTTGGAGCTTTTTGACAGGTATAGAGCATATATCTTAGTAACCTTAATGTTACTTTCACTACTAAGGAAGCCAAAAACATTTTTAAAGGTTCGCTTACACTTTGGGTGTCTTCGTGAATAAACTTTCCATCAACTAAATTTAGAATCATCTTTACAGAACTGTGTAGGTTACTTACACATAAGAAGTCATTTGCATTCTCACTCATTGGTAGTGGGAATACACAATGGTACAACCACTTTGGTAGTTTCTTTAAAACTAAACATATTATCACCATATGATCCAGCAATCATGCTTCTTGGTGAGAGTTGAAAACTTATGTCCACACAAAACCTGCATGTAGATGTTTATATAGCAGCTTTATTCATAATTACCAAAACCTGGAAGCAACCAAGATGTCCTTCAGTAGGTGGATGGATAAATAAACTACAGTATACCCAGTTACTCAGTGCTAAAAAGGAACTAGCCAGCCATGAAAAGACATGGAGGAACCATAAGTGAAAGAAGCCAATCTGGAATGGCTATATACTGTAGGATTCCAAGCATATAACATCCTGGAAAAGGTAAAATTATGGACACACTAAAAAGATCAGTGGTAGTTGGGCATTAGGGGAGAGGGATGGATGAACAGCTGGAGCATAGAAGATTTTGAAGGCAATGAAACTGTTCTGTAGGACACTACAATAGTGGATACCTGTCATTATAAATTTGTCCAAACCCATAGAATGTACAACGCCAAGAGCAAGCGCAAACATATGGACTCTGGGTGATAATGATGTGTCAATGTAAGTTCACCAACTGTAAGGTGGGGCATGTTGATAGTGGGGGAGTCTGTGCCTGTGTAGGGGGGAGGGGGACATGGGAACTCTCAGCACTCTCTCAGTTTGCTGTGAATCTAAAACTCCTCTAAAAAATAGCTATTTAGGGGCGCCTGGGTGGCTCAGTCATTAAGCGTCTGCCTTCGACTCGGGTCATGATCCCAGGGTGCTAGGATCGAGCCCCGCATTGGGCTCCCTGCTCGGCGGGAAGCCTGCTTCTCCCTCTCCCACTCTCCCTGCTTGTGTTCCCTCTCTCGCTGTGTCTCTCTCTGTCAAATAAATAAATAAATAAATATTTTTTAAAAAATAGCTGTATTAAAAAAAAAAATTATCTGATGCAATGAAGTAGCCAGTCTAAATACATACTTTGAAATAACACTCCATGGAATGACATGGGAAATAACACCACCATAAATGGCAAAAACAGGTGATTAAACAAGCGAACAAACCACCTATTCAGTAAATCCCTGCTTTGCAAAACACACGTGTATAAACCTTAGGGCTACGCACAGTTGACAGAATTGTTCCCTTTCTAATGGGTCTCTGAGCTGCTTGTTTCCAACTCTCAGCATTTACAAACTCTAGGAAGGGGGAGCAACTTCTCCAGCACCCGATTACATTAGGGTCCTTTCACGAAATGCAAAGGACCATCATACAGAACATTCTTCTGGCCCTCGTGCACACTGCCATGATGCCATCAAGCCAGGCAAGCCAGGACGATGTCCCGCCCCAGAGAGGCCCAGAGGCATGCTTACCAGGGGAAGCCAGGGCAACGGAGCTTGTGTGCACTGTTTCCAGCCAGGTACGAGAAATGGAAGCCTCCGGGGTTGAGGACCAAGGGGGTCAGATCAACCATGTGTCTGCAAGGCAGGGCAGAGAGGGGAACATCAGCTCTGGGCTCCTCCCTGGCAGGCCCTCCCACAGGGACTCCCGGGCACGGAGCAGACCTCTGAGCCTTGACTCCGTCCCTGTACAATGGGAATAACCACCCCTCAACCACTGTGGTGAGGATTGACAACAAGGTGGGGAAAAAACGGGAACCAAGCGTGGGACACAACGTGCTCCCTAAAATGCTCTCTTTTCATTTGCCCGGAGCCTAGAATCAATTCCTTCCACCTCTTTGGGTTCGATGACAGGCCAGGCCAGTTCAATTTCACTTCTGACCTTGCAACCTCCAACTTCTCCATCTGTAGGAAACAAAGGAAATCTTAGGACAAGTCTGGGGGCCCCAGTGGGAAGAAAAACACCTTACACCAGAACTAGGGAAACCATGTGACTATCACTCATTCAGCCAATACATAGGGTCATCCTTAGCGCCCATCTCAAGCTTGGTGTTAGGGGGACGGGGACGGGCTGGGGGCTGGCAGCTGAGAGAGGACTGGGGGCTGCCCGGCCTGAGAGTGCAGGAGGAAGGAACAGGAGAGGCACGCGGTTAGGAAGGCACCGCAGAGGCAAGGAGACCACCAGCCATGAAGTGGGGCAGGCGTGGGGCTAGAGATATTGGGGGGCAGGCCATGCTTCTCCACCTGTCCTTTGGGCACCCCAGGATTCTGCCCCGTGTTTTAGCAGCTGCCTTGCTCAGCTGAGGCCAAGCAGGTGAAACTCTGTGCCTCCAACCCTTCAACCAGAGCAGACCCCCTTTTATCTGCTTTATCCATCAACATTCTACCCAAGACTTTGCCTCCAGAGAGCATTCTGCCGCTTAAAAACAAAGTTCTGACAGTCACTGCCATGGGCCCGGGGGAGCCGCTGGGGTGGTTCTGAGCAGAGGGGTAGGGGCTGCCGCTCCTAGGACCATGCAGACCGGGGGATGAGCTCACTGACCGACTTGCTGGGCAGCGGAGGGAAGGGGCCAAAGACCCGAGGCATAGTGTAGACAGGGGGTGATGGGGCCACCACGGAGGCCATGGTGGTGGCAGGTGACAGCAGCGGTGGAGGCGGCAGCAGGGCTGGTGGCAGGCATGGGGAGGTTGCGCGGTCTCGCAAGAGGATGGGTTCTGGTTTCTTCGGCTTTGGCTTTCTTCTCTTCTTCTTGGCATCTGTGACAAAAGGGACCAATGAGTGCCTACCCCATGGCCAGAACAGGGTAGCGTCGAGGCCAAACAATGGTGCAGGTTCTTTACAAGATTCCTCCCCCAAAGGGCACCACATTAAGAGTGCCTGGAACCACGGCTGATGGAGCCACGGCTGACAGGTACCAACACGTACTAGCTCACCGACCCCACAACTACCCCCACGAGGAAAGGCTATTTTTGTCTCTCTCTTACAAGGAGAAAGGGAAGCTCCAAGTGTACAAGGCCCAGGCAGGACCCATACCCCAGACTTCAAGGCCAGAATTTCAGGGGAAGTAACATGAGTATCACCACCAAGGAGGGCTGGGCTTGTCCCAGACAGGTCAGTCTGCCACCTACCGCAAGCACTGTGGAAAGCTCCTAAGTCAGCCAGCACCTTCATGGGGTATCCAGGCTCTGGACGGGTGAGTTCACCAACTACACCCAGCCCCAGGGCCATCCTGGGGGTATGCAAAGGCCCTTTCCTCTGTAAGGAAACTCTTCTGTAGGAGATCTTACAGAAGTGGGCTCAGCAAGAGAATCTTTGAGTAGCAGGACTCTGGGGCCTACCCCCTCTCCTCTTTCCACATTAGGTTTTCTTCCTATATTTGATGAGTCTGGCTATTTCTACTGGACACCAGCAAAGTGGATATGAACAAGTGCCTCATACAGCCCATTAAAAGGGCTCACCTAGAATGACGATCACTACCACCAGGGAGCACTGACCTGGAGGCTAAGAGCCCAAGCCCTAGAGCAGCCCATACCTGAGTTGAAGTCTAGACTCTACTACTTACTATGTGACACTGTTGTTACAACGTTGGCTACCCTCCCTGGGCCTCTATGTCCTCTTCTGTAAAATGAGTTTAATAGCATAGACACTACCTTGGGAGGCTGTGTAAGAGCTACACATGCTGGGGGGTCCATCAGATGAAATGGTGATGTGGAACACGCACACTCTGCATCATGGAAAGTGGGACCCCCAGGTGAGCCAGGCCTCCTGATACAATGAAGAAAGCTGCTCCACCACTAGCTAGGGTATCACTGAAGACAAATGCACCAAAAGAACTGAACCCGCATCTAATCAAGGCTTTAGAGTAACTGTCCAAGAAATACAGGGAGAGGGGGACAAGACAAATGGCACCAGGGGGCCCTAACAACAGATATAAACCCACTGAGTGCAACGCCCCAAAGGACATCACAGTTCTTCAAGGTGATGGCATGGGGGAGTAAGGTGAGGGCATCCCACCTCAAAGGGACTTCAACAGACGTGGCCATCCCTCACTTGCCATCCCTACGTGGTCACTAGTGTGGCCCCCTTCCATTTCACTCTCCCAAGTGTGCCAATGTGGACTCGAAGTATATGGCCATCCTAGTGAAAAGGAACCTCAAAGGACCTAACATCCAAACCAAGTATCAGCTAATATTAAGAAATTGTTGTCCGGCACCTGGGTGACTCAGTAGGTTAAGCCTCTGCCTTCGGTTCGAGTGGTGGTCTCAGGGTCCTGGGATTGAGTCCCACATCAGGCTCCCTGATCTGTGGGAGCCTGCTTCTCTCTCTCTCTCTCCCTCTGCCCCTCCCTGTGCTTCTGTGAGCACACTCTCTGTGTCAAATAAATAAATAAATAAATCTTAAAATTGTTGTCAATAATATCTAGGTAACATTGTGATTACAAAATGTCTTTTTTTAATATATAAATAAGCATTCCAAAGGATCCAAGAATAAAATGATGTCTGAGATTTCCCCCCAAAATGCTCCATTAAAAGGAAACGGGGGAATAGAGAGTGAAGCAAGCATGGCAAGATGGGGATAGTTGCTGAAACTGAAGGGTGACCGGTACCTGAGTGTTCACTGCAGTCTCCAGTTTTGTGTTATGTTCGTTTTCATAATACTTTAAAAATAAAGACCAAATTAAAAAAAAAAAGTGCTAAGCACAGAACCAGGGATAAGGGAACCTGAGTCAGGTTTGCTGGGTTACTGGAGCCTGGCAGAGGCTGAGCCTCACCCTGAGAGTAGAGGTGCACGCGGTGAATGCTCCTCTTCAGCTGCTCCAGGCGCTGGTGCATTTCCAGGGCACCCATGCTGTTGCAACAATTCAGCTCCCCCTGAACTGCACAGAAGAACTTTGCCTACGACAAGGGGACAGGCAGGGCAGGAGGAAGCCAGACAGGTGAGACACCTGCCGGCTGCACTCTCCAAGCTGGGCCGCCTGGGGCTTCTGGAAGAACCCTACTCTGCAGCTCCAACTAGGCCCCAAGGCTCCCTCCCCACCCAACCCCCGCCCCGCCCCGCCCCCAATCTCCTCTCCTCAGAGCTCCGCCCCAGAAGACAGCGAGCGGGAGCCGTGTGAGCCCCCGCCCCCGTGGTCCCCGCCCCGCCTCCCCCCTTGCAGCCCCGCCGGCCCGCTCGCACCCAGAGGAAGGAGAGGAGCCCGCGCCCCTCGTACTCGGCCAGCTTGCCCTTGCGCACCACCCTCTCGGCCAGCGCCGGGTTGCGGTCGATGCTGCGGAAGAGGCGGCGCAGCGCGCGCTCCGTGTAGGTGGCCGCCTGCCTCTCGAAGTCCTCCTCGGAGATGAGCTGGCAGAAGGTCACACTCTGGGGCAACTCGCTGTCGAACTCGTCCAGGACCTCCATCCCCGAGGAGCTGAGGGCGGGCCTGGGCGGCCTGGGGGCGGAGCGGCCGTCGGGGCGGGGCCACCGAGGCTCCAGGCGTGCCGACCCCCCAACCCGCCTCGGGCCGGGGGACAGGGGCAGGTCCCGAGGGCCAGGGATCGGATCGCCGTGGGTGGCGGGGCGGGGACCGCGGGGACGCACCTGCTCTCTGCCCCACAGCCGCCGCACCGACGCAGCCTCCCTCCGCGTGCCGCCGCCACCGCCCCGACCGCTCTAGCCAATCCCCCCGGAGCTCGCGGGCGGGGGGCCAATCCGCGCGAGGCGGCCGCACGTGACAATGCCCACCGCTCTGGGCATGCGCTCTGGAGCGTTCGACGGGGCAAAAGCTGCGGCGCACCGCGGGGGCCCAGTCCCGCTGGCGTGTTGCAGTCCTTGATTGGGGGAGCCGGCCGTGGCCACGCAGGGAACATGGTCAGCAGCCGTACTCTTCAAACGTCTTTAAGGCTTTCTCCCTTTCCCATTCCGTGTGCTCACCCTCCCTCCTCGCGGTCTGTAGACAACACGCCAAGGGCTTCACTCAGTCTCTTAACTCCTCTAGTCCCAGACTTCACTCTTCCTCTCCTGATTTACTCTCCAGCATCAAACCCAACCCTCCTCAGCTTGTCTTCTCTCTTCCCCTGTATAACCACTCCTTTGCCCTGTACTCACGTTGCCTCTTCACGAGCATCTCCAGCTGCTCCTTATGCATTTCAGAAGGCCCCATCTTCACGGTACCATCTGGGACGATCTTACCCCACTTCTTGGTCCCAACTCAGAGCTGACTTAACTCTAACCTGTGTCTCAGGCTGAGACCTCCCTTGAATTCCAGAACCACATCCAAGTTTCGGCTGGGGTCGTTTCTTTGGCGTCTCATGCTGAACATACCCAGTTTGGCATACAGCTTCTTCCCTCCCAACCCCAAACCTGCTTCTCTTCTCCCTCTCCTACTTGGTCAGCGATGTCACCACCAACCACCGCAGCCACATTGATAAGGGGGCCCACCCTGGATTGCTTCCTCTCTGTCGCCCTCCACACCCCTTCACCCCAATCAACCTGAGATCCATGAAGTGCGTCTGAGAAGTCAAAAGAGACTTTTCACCTCCCACTGCCAAACCACCAACCCTCTAAGGTTCTGCTGTCCCCAACGTAGGCCCTCACTTCCTCCTGCTTTGAGGTCAGAGAGCAAGATGGAAACAATCAAGGAGGAAAAAAAATTTTAGCCTAGGGGTGCAAACAGATATGATACACATGGGTTCAAATCTTCATTCTACTTCCTGATGCTGTGTGCTTCTCCCTCTCCCACTCCCCCTACTTGTGTTCCCTCTCTAGCTGGGTCTCTGTCAAATAAATAAAAATCTTAAAGAAAAAAAAAACTTTACTTTGCAATATATAGTATTTGCCTTTTTATATACAGCACAAGTCCTCTGAGGGGTCAAACAGACCCCTAATTAATCCCCCCCACCGGGGCGCCTGGGTGGCTCAGTCGTTGAGCTTCTGCCTTCGGCTCAGGTCAGGATTCCAGGTCCTGGAATCGAGCCCCGCATTGGGCTCCCTGCTCGGCAGGAAGCCTGCTTCTCCCTCTCCCACTCCCCCTGCTTGTGTTCCCTCTCTCGCTGTGTCTCTCTCTGTCAAATAAATAAATAAAATCTTTAAAAAAAAAAAAAAATCCCCCCTACCATGTTATGCTAATAATACTTCACACTTTATGTACTTATTTGTATTTTTTAAAGTTGTATTGGCCCCTCCTCTGTGCCAGGCACTGCCAAGAGAGATATAAAAAGGGACATTGTCCCTGCCCTCAGGGCTCCCAGTGTAATGAGGACTTCAGCCACAATGAGAAATTTCAATCTAACAGGCTCTGCTGGAGGGATATTGGATGCTGTGGAGCCCAGGAAAGGATTTCCCTAGGAGGGAACATTTGAGCAAAACCCTGAGTTCACAAGCATCCCCCAGCAAGGGCCAGAGACAGCTGTATGAGGGTCTCCAGCCAGTGGGCACAGAATCTACCCAGAAATAAGGATGGCCACCTCCAGCCATGGATGCCCGGTCTTCTACTCCCCAGGGTGGGGGTGAAGCTGACATCTTGATGTGCTCAGCCAGGGGTGAGGTGTACTCCCAAATGCCCATCTGGAAACCTAGGCCTCCTCTCAAAGGAGACAGGCTTGAATGACTCACTGGGCACACAAGCCTTTTGCATTGTGGCATGTCCTGACGGAGGAGGTGGCCTTGCAGGCATGCCTGGGGCCTGGCTCCTTGGCAATCCCCCTAATTGTAGCTGTTAGGATGGGCATGCCAGGCACCTCTTGGTCCCTCCTGCAGTCTCAGGGCAGCATACCTCCCTGTAAGAGAACAAACTGGCATGGTTGATGGGTATCACCTGTGGGCTTCATAGCCCAAGTCCACCCACCCACCCCAGATAGTGGTGCTCCTAAGAACCCAGGAGAATGTTCTCTCCAGAGTCTGACCCTCCCCAAGCCCTCAAGGAGGGCTGGGTGTAGTTCACCTGCACACAGTCAAAGTTGAGCTGGGTCTGAGCCAGGCAACACAGTGGGTCTCCATTTCTCCACAAGGCCCTGACCGAACCTGGAGTCCCCAGTCTTACCCAGGGAGTTGGTGTGGAAAGATCTTCAAACCAGAGCTTTTCTGAGTCCAGGGCCTCTGCCCCTTGCTCCTGTCCAGCCATAACCCAGAGGAGAATTTATGGGAGGATTCCCCCCGCTCTGCACTCACCTAATCCTCTGATGGAGGGTCCAGCCTAGTTCCACACCTGCTCCTAACTGCTAGGAAGTGGAGTGAGGCCCCAAAACTCCCTCCCTTCAGGCGCTATGGGTGGTGGGCTGGGCCTGACCGATGCCCTTTCATCATTGCACTGCTTCCCAGCGGCCCACAGTAGTGCAACAGGGAAAGAGTGTCAGGCAGGCCTGCCAGCGCCTCTCCCGGTGGTGGTCCTTGAGGATCTGAGACCTGGAATGCAGGCCCACTGGGGTGGGGCTTCTGCCTGGGGGGAAGGGTGCCCTCTGACCCTAGAGGCCCAGGCCTAGCCAAGATCTCAAGTTTCCATGGAGAAGGGAGTGAGGCCAGGGACGGGGGGAGGGGAGGGCCTGCAGGCCCAAGGGGCCCGGCCTGGGGAGGGGGTTGGTAGTGTGGGGAAGGAGGGGTTCCCAAGGCTGGTCCCAGATGCTTTGACAATATCATTGCACTGCTTCTCAGAGCACAGTAGTGCAACCTCGTCAGAGCACCTGGGGCCAGCTGGGGGTACCCCCACGGCCCCCAGTAAGCTCAGGGCGGGAAGCTCAACCGTGGGTGGGTGGGGTGGGGCTAGGGGCCCTGTCCTGGACCTCAAGGCGGGAAGGATTTCGGCAGGGCTGTGGTCCTGGAGGTCGTCAGAATGTCCCGGCCCTTCCCTTCCCCAGCACGCTCCACATTGCGGTGCGGGAGAGACCCCAGACTGAGGGGTAGCTCCAACCCAGGAGCGGGAGCGGACGGGGGAGGGGGCAAACACACAAAGGAGAGGGACCCGCGCTCCACCGCAGTCCGAAGCCCACTCGCGCACCGAGCGAGGGTGGGTACAGCCCGACGACCCTACACCCTCACTCGGTCTGCGGCTCCGAGAGAAGGAGGGTGGCCCGGTTCCGAACGACGCGCCCCTGCAGGCTCAGGCACCCATCCCTGGCCCCTAGCCCCCAACTTGGGCTCCAGTCCTAAAGATTCTCTTCCTGGCGGCCCAGAGCGAAGCAAAAGAACAAGGGAGGCTTCCCGCCCTTCTGGAGTCCCCTGCCCGGAGAGGGCGCCCCGGGGTCCGGGCTGCGCCCCTCCGCACAGTCCCGCCGGGTTGGGCCGCCCTGCCTGTGCCCTCCACCTCGGACCCTGCTACTCACGCGGCGGGACGCCCCTTCCAAACCAGGACGGGGCAGGACGCGGAAGGTTAGCGAGAGAAATGTCCTGGCGGTTGGTTGCCCCCGTCATCCCCATCAGGACGACCCCGCACCTCGTGGCGCCCTCTCGCTCGCCGGCTCCATCTTTAACCCGCTGACAGTCGGCGGGGCCCAGCCCCCGGCTTCTTAGCATAACGCCGCGCTCATTGGCAGGAGCCGGCGCGGGGGCTTCGCCTCCTGCACTCCTATTGGCTGAAACAGGAGCGATTTCAAAATAGCCTCCGGGCTCCGATTGGCCGGGAGCGGGCCAAGTCCCCGGCTCCGTGGTTTTAACAATGAGTACTACAAACACTTTCTCACCATTCATAACTTATCAAAAGGAATTTTGCCCGCCTTTTCTCAGCTCCAGTCTCCGCGAGTTTAATAGCGGCGCGGGCAAGAGCACTTGGAAGACCGGAGGGGGGCGCCGTCCGCGCAGCTGAGCCCACTGGGAAGCGATCCTGGGAAAATGCCCGAACCCTCTGTCTAGTTCTCTGTGGAGCAGGGCCGCGGGCTGCTTCCATTATGCGTGCTGACATCGTTCCCCGTGCCTCCCGGACAAGATACTCGGCTGCAGTGGGCTTCCCGGCTGAGGTAGCCCCCGCTCCCCAACCAACCCCACCTCATCGCCTGGCTTGACCTGAAGCCACCCGGTTAGGCCTGGGCTGCAGAGATCTGGTCCTGGAGCCCGTGAAGCCTTGTGGATCTGTGGGAGGTAAGGGGAAGAGGGTGTCAGCTTGAGTCCCCGCGCGATTGCTATCCACTTTGCGGATACACATTAAGTGCCTACCCAGAGCTGATGACCCATAAGGATACACACCGTTCAGCTCTCACACAGCTGCAGTGTGCGTGTGTATGTGTGTTGGTGCAGGGTGTTGGGAGGGGCGGTAGCTTAGGCTACAGTGCATCGCTGCCCCTCCCCCCCCCATTTTATTCTCTCAGTCGAATGGCTGAGAGCAAAAGTTTCTGAGGCAGGTATAGCTGGGTTAAATCTTTACCAACCTGCTGCCTCCTCCACAAAATTAAGGCAATTGAACCTGCTTCATAGAATTGTTGCCAGGAGCAAATGAGATGCTGTGTAAATCGTTGGCCAAGTGCCCGACACTTAGTGTTCAGTAAATGCGTGCTCTGCTGCTGCAATTTAGTTTTTGGTCTTGTCCTGCATTCTGTCTAGAGCCATCTTAAGTGCTCCCACAGCTTCAGCCTTGGTTCCCCAAGGATCCTACATGCTATACACTGTTTGATTCTGCTATTCATCTAGGTGTACCGCAATCATGTCGCAGGTCAGGTGAGTGATGGGAGAGGAGCTTAAATTTGTAGACAACGCTTGAGGGGTTTGGCAATGGACGGATCAGGAGGTCTGTGTTTGACCAGAGCAGGAGCTCATGGGTTGAGAGGGTGGGGAAGTAATGGTCCAGGGCCTACAGTGTGAGCCACCTCTTGTCAAGTCTCACAATTGCCTAGAGCTTTTATTTTTTTTAAGATTTTATTTATTTATTTATTAGAGAGAGAGAGAAATAGCATGAGAGGGGAGGGAGTCCGAGGGAGAAGCAGGCTCCCCGCTGAGCTGGGAGCCCGATGTGGGACTCGATCCCAGGACTCTGGGATCATGACCTGAGCTGAAGGCAGTCGCTTAACCAACTGAGCCACCCAGGCACCCTGCCTAGAGCTTTTCTCACACCCCCATAAGGCCATTTGATTTCTCACCTGCAAGGTGCTTTGCCCAGACTCCTCCAAGCCCCTTCCCACCAGGTGCTACCCCCAGCTTCTCCTTGGGCTCTTGTATTCTCATTCAGAAAGTGGCACTCTG